TGCAAACCCTTCCTTTCAAAATATTTGGAGAATGTCTAGCTAGCATTTGTATTCCATTGTATTATAATGAATTTTATTTAGCCAATTAAATCACTCCATGGCCAATGGTTTCATTTTTTTAAAAATAAAAATTATTAAATTAAAAGTTAGAGATGCGAAAACTCAAAATTAGACTCTCAAGGACAACTGGAATAACCCAGTTGTTAGGTACGAAGGTGTTCGCATGACCAATGATTCTAAGCTTCACCCATAATACTTGACCCAATTTGTGACACTTGTATTGCCAAAAGACATTCATACCCTAAAAATAGTATTAATTGCTGTGAGTTGAATTTCTTACAATATATATGGATTTTTCAGATTACACATGAAAATATCTATTTTAGGTAACTTGCCTATGTACATATGATGATGCCCTGAAAGCCCCACGAGACCCTGGTCGGTCATTATATGAAGGATGGATTGAATATTTTAGATGTTTTAGACTTTTAGTAAAGTTACATTATGAATATGCATTGAATCTATCTTCATGTGGTCACTTTCATGACAATATATCTTAAAGAAGGTTTTGTCTCTTAATTAAACCCAAATTAAGTACAGGTTAACAAATTGCCCTCTCAAGCCATGGAATCGTTATGTCATCGTTCAATTATTAAAAATACTTTATTGTTTCCAATTTTTCAAATCCCTCTTTATTAACTAAAGTAAGCTTCAAACCGTCCAAGAGACTCAACAAGATAATCATTGAGCAATTGCTTTTGTTTTTGTTTTTATTTTTATTTTCTCATTTTTTATTTTGAGTAGTCTTGTGCTACCACATGTTTATATGATTAGGATGCCTAATCTTTCTAATATGTTTACATATATTCATTAGCCGCCTTATAATATGCATTTATAGGTAAGGAAGAGTCCTCGAATGTCCTATTAGTACAATTTATTTTAAATGTAATAAAAGTATATGTGATTTCATGTTTTAACTCTTCTCTCTGGAATCATCATAGGATCATCCAACACAATTGTTATAGTATCTTGTATTACGTTCAAATTAACTTTTGGAAGAGATTAAATTACACGCACCGGCAATATAGTCTAATAATATTTTCTCGACATTTTAAAGTAAAATTTTGAAGAGATTAAATTACACGCACTGGCAATATAGTCTAATAATATTTTCTCGACATTTTAAAGTAAAATTTTGAAGGTATAAGTCTGATTAGAAACATAATAGTGAGTGTGTGTATTTCTTCCTAATAATAATAATAAATTAATAAATATTAATTTAGCTTGAAATATTATAAATTTTTTTTTTTATTGAGAATAGTGTTTTTTTTTTTTTTTCTGAATTTATAAATTATTAATTGATTGCCTAAATTTATTCTATTTTCCTCTTGACATAGCATTTGTGTGTAAATAGGAGTGTTTAGTCATTCTTAGAATTGGCTCTGATTATTTTCTTAATCCTAAGCCAAGCAACAAATATATAATAATAATAATAATAATAATTTACCTCCTCTACTATCCCATAGGTCACCGAATCGCAATATTTAGTATTATTGGCGATTCATTGTAGTGAAGCGTTTAAAGATAAAAATTGAAATGGTACACTGTAAATTGGTTCACTATTAATTCTATTAAAACGTTGTTTTCCAGATCACTGAAAAAAGATTTATCTGAATTACTTAAATTGAATTCTAGAATGCTAACTAAATAAAGCCAAAACCTCTCTTAATTTAATAAAAAGTCGTCCCTTAAACAAAGGTTTTATATCATTATCGTTAAATTTGAAGATCTAATCTGTGAGTGTAAAAAATATATGACAACTAAGCAAAATGCAATTAAATTATTATAATAGTGATATGGAACAAGTGGACCACGCAAATGTATTATATAATTTATGTGTAAATAATTTTATTAATTATTCTTTTAATTTGATATATACACGACTCGGTCAAGTTACTCAAGTACATAACGCTAAATCGCTAATGAATAAGCAATCGTGCATTTCTCGACTTCCACCTATATAAGTAGGATCATAGATCGTTCGTTTACACGCTTCCTTGTGAAAAATAAACAATTTTTTACTTTAACTGATTGAGATTAATTTACATACGCATTGCGCATGTTTTCAAACACGTGTAATGCATTAGTTTGACAAATTGCACTGGAAAATGGTCCCCATTGGTGAAAGTCGACCAAATTATCTTTGCCCCTAATCACTTTTTTTACCCACTTAGAATTAAAAATACAATTCTTTTCCAGATACATTAAGAAATTTAACCAAAAAAAAAAAAAAAAAAAAAAAAAAAAAATTTTTTTTTGAACCTATTTGTTGCAGTGAATTGTCTGACTTATTTGTTTTAATTGGTCTATTTATATAACAAATAAGGAAGTAAGGCACTTCAGTTACTTGTTTTGTACATAAATAATTAATCAAAAACTTTTGATTAAGTAATTGAGGATAACAAATCGGTACAAGTATCACTAATAACTTGTCATATTTTAGACCAAACCAGAAAATATATTTAGAAGGTTTTGCACTACGTTTTGAGAATTTGGTCAGAGAAAAGCTTTTACATCCATTATTTATTAAGATGATAGTTTTGTCTTTCTTATTATTTTTTTTTGACCCGACTGACTAAACATTAACATGACAATTAACACTATAATAAGACAATAAAACAAAAAAAAATATATATAATAATTAAGATTCAAATATTATGTCAAATATTTGTTTTTTCTTAAAACAAAAAAGACTGTAGGATAAAAGTCAAAAATATTAGTCTATACTTTACTTATATCTCTTAACTTGTTAGAAAAACTGATAATTTTTTTTGATTGATAGAAACATTACTTATCTTATGATTTTGGGAATCTTAAATCAAGATATTAGTAGGTTTGATGAATCTGAAAATTTACTCTGCTTATAAATGAACATTTATCAAATCAAAATGAGGGAATAAAAAATATAAAAAGGTTTGATATGATACGATATGATTATTGGTGGATTTGAAGCTACTAACTAGAGGGGCATACATAATATAGGAGTAGTAATATTTTGCAACCACAAAGGTCAACGATAAATAAAAAAGATGAGTATGAATTACAATAATTATACAGAAACCATTTGTCATGGGAAAACATTAAAGCATATGTGTCACCTGACCTAACAAATTGTAAGAGTAAAAATTAGGTTGCGCTCAACCACCCTAAACTGTCCATAATTGATTAAGGTACGCATGGCCGACGGAATTAGATTTAATTAAATGAGTTGTGTCAATAGAGACTTGGTTGTTTATGGCCATGGAGGTTGTAACTGTCACTGGTTCATCTCCTCTTGAGCTTGGGACACTCATGCAGTTGACTTATTAATTTTAAAACAAAAAGGAAATGGAAACAACAAAAGGATAGATAACCACTTAAATTCCGTGTTGTTAATATTAGGAAAATATAAAAATTCTCGATTTAATTTATAAATTAGGAATGACAATTTGTACGGTCCGTCGGAGCCCCGCGTCTTATGGCACGGTATGAGCGTCGGAGCCCCGCGTCTTATGACACGGTATGAGAATCGTTTATGTACTGTAAGAGCGGGTATGAATTTAGATTTTAAACCCGAGTTACGAGACAGGTACGAATTTTAAAAAACATTTCCCCCTACCCCGCTCTCTATACTTTGCAATATTTTTTAATTTTATAAATTATATATATATATATATATATATATATATATATATATATATATATCATTATTTACATTGTATAGAATTTTTAGATTCTATCAATTTATTTATATAGATAATAAAGAAAAAAAAGTAAACGGAGGCCGGGACGGGTACGGGGACACTCATTTCTTAATGAGACAGGTATAAATTTGTCCATAATTAAATGGAGCGAGTACGAATTTAGACAAATCCACTCCATACTTGCATCCGTTGCCATCCCTAGCATAAATTAAGTTGTGTTTTTTTTTTTCTTTTTTTTTTTTAAATCATGCAAATCTGAACTGGAAATTTACACTTGTATGGTTGAAAAAAATTGAGAAAAATGTTCTTATAATAATAATGAATGTGGATGAGAACTTGGGTTTGTGTCCCGCAGGGTTAGATGGGTGTGTATTTCTTATTAATGAAAAAAGTAATAACTTAATATAAATTGAAATAGTAAATAAAAAAATAATAACATGATGATTTAATTATGCTTATAGCCTTAATTAGAAGAATAATGTACATCAAATGAGTTGAGTCTCACATCTATCCCACTACAATGATTTTTTTATTCTTATCCATCCCGCTACAATGATTTTTTACTTTTTATTTTTGTAAAAAGGATTCAAGAACGGAGTTGGAACCAACACACTACTTGTATAATTGTTTTATTTGTCACGATAAATAACATACCACTCGTTTATAAAAAAACACTAAAGATATATATATATATATATATATATATATATATATATATATATATATATATATGAAAGTAATTTAGTGGTATTTTTTTTATTTTAAATTGAGTATTTAAGATGAAGAGTCAAAGTTCAAAATTTTTTTTTTTTTTTAAAATAATGTTGAGACAGATTTAATTATATAAATTTTTATAATTCAAAGATTTTGTTGAAATTGAGTTATTGAATAAGGAAAGTGATCGTAAATCGACTTTACTTTCATTTTTATTTTTATTTTTATTTTTATTTTTTATTTTTTATTTTTGTTATAGATTCACTATTATAATTCTTGAGGATGAAGAATAAATTAAATTTACGTCATTTATTTTTCGTCCAATTTATAAACTGAAGTTAGAATTTACAATCACAGTTAGACCGGAGGATTCACCAGTTTCCGGCTCGAACTCACTTGTAACGAAAAGGCGGTTCATCATTCTTTAGTTGAACTCCACTTTGTTTCAAGTTTCAACGAGTGTGTGTGGGCCCAAAATCCCACTGTGGCATGGGAATTATTAATCCAACTTCTGGACAAAAATTTGGAATCCGAGAACAGAGAGAGAGAGAGAAAAGAGGAGGGAGAGAGAGAAAGTGGTCACTGTTTGCTGTGGGCTAGTGTATATAAAAGTCCTCTCCATAAAGCCGTTAAGTGTGCCGGGGTGGAAAAAGTGCAGTTTCGCCACTCTCTCGTCTCACTATATACATACATATATACACATCTCTATATCTATCTACAGATATTCATCGATCGCTGTTATACCATCTTTGTTTTCCTAATCAACACCAGTATTTCTCTGTCAAGTCGCATCGATTTGTAATTTCAATGCAAAATGAAGTTGATGTAGTCCTTGTTTTCTCTACGTTGAGGTTTTGTGTGGTCTTCATCCACGATTCACGAGACATGGAGGCGAACGAATTTGAGAAATCTATTCATGTCAAACAGTTCGATTAGAGGTAAGGACCTATATTGATTTTAATTCTTTTGATGTATTTCTCTTCACTCGTGTTTGGTTGCCAAGAATCTTGTAGAAAAGAAGAAAAAGAAACAAGGTTTTGACTTGTTTTTGTTTTTATGATTCTTTTTTGTTTCGATAAAGGAAAATTTTTTTTTGCTCGTATAAGAAAATTTTCGAAATATTTTTTTATCATAATTTTCTTAGCAACCAAACGGAGTATTTTAATTAGTTGCAAAGAGATAATATTGCTTGATTTTGTGTCTTCAGGTGTGCGTTCGCATCGATTTCACAAATCTTGATCTTGAAAGTTCGGCTTGTTTGAGGTTTGTTAGGCTATAATAACAAATATTTTTAAGTAAAGGTTTTGGGAACAGATTTGGATTTTGAAGCTTCTGGATTCACTGTGTTTATCAGCCAGTCCTAACTGTATACATAATTGTGCGCACTACTAGTTGTAACTTGGAAATTGATGGAAATCTCATCTGGAAAGGTCAAAATCATGAATTTCTTTGTTACTTGTGGCCATCTTTAATTGCTTTTACATCACCTGTTACGAATATCTGGTACGTAGTTCTTGAGGTAGGGTTTTTAGCTATGGACTATTTGCTATTCACTTCCATGGAGCCGCCAATAAAGAGAAGAGCAGGTTTGCGGATAAAACAGGCGGGGCGAGGTTCATATCGGGGTAGTTAGTGAGCGGTTGTATTGATAATTTGGCTGATTTTAATCTTTCTTCAACTGGACCTTTTTATTTCCTGAGAAACTTTACACATGGGGGCTACTCCTCTGCGGCAGTTCCTGCAGAGTCTTTGCCATAACTCTCATTGGAATTATGCAGTCTTTTGGAAGCTTCAGCAGCAGAGCTCAATGTAAGTAGTTGAAAGCAACTTCTTTGTTAGTGTGCGACTGAAACCAGCTTGGTTATGTACTCAAAATTATCTTTTTCATATGCTTTTGAAACATATTGTATCTACCGTTATTCATTTTACTAAACTGGTCCATCTATATGAAGTATTCACTTTCTTGGGCTGCATACTGCTGTAGACTAATGATAAGTGTTCTTGATCTTCTAAGACAATTAATTTTTTTTTTTTGATAAGTATCTTCTAAGACAATTAATTGAAAATTTTGTTTTGTGTTTTCCTTTCTTTTAGAGATTAATGACTTTTAAGTAGTTCTACTAAAGTTTATCCCTCCCATGTATTTACCAGAAAAAAAAAAAAAAAAAAATCTCTCTCCTGTCCTACTTTTACATGGAATTTTAGTCTCTTACTCTCTCTTTTTTTTCCTAGTTGATATTCTCTTACTCTCTTTTGATCCCATAGACTTGGCTTCATGTTGATAGCTGTAGACATTGTAATCAATTGGTTGACGTTGGTTAAAGAACCACTATTGGACGCCATATGACTTTTTCGATTTCATGGATAGCTGTTGTTGATTCCAGGTGTCTAAAGTTGTTTGTCACAAAGCTGGTCTGTGATGCTATTTAGCGCACTTTCTGGTTTAGATCATGGTTAGGGGCCTAGGGCATGTTGCTTATTACATTCAGTTAAAGATGATAGTTTTGAATTTGCAAACTGATATGAGATTCACTATGGTATATAGTAGGCCAAATTTTGGACAATTTTTTAAAAATAAAAAATTGAAAACTAGTGTATTTAATTTAATTTTTTTTTTTTTAAAAGTATTTTGCAGTTGATTGACTTTTGGTTCGATCATCAACTTCTTCAGGTGCCTATTGCTTATATTTTAGGATTGTATTCTACCATATGCCTCTCTATCGGCTACTGCCATTATGCGCTAGACTGGGAGTGGATCATATAAGCTTTAGAATGTGATGTTGTAGAATTAGTAAGTTTTAGAAATAAAAAATATCTGCTTAAAATCATTTTGCTACCATGTTATTGTCATCTTGTTCTTTTGGATTTGCGATTAATATCATATGTGATCTTCTTGAGTATCATAAACCATATAATTACTTTCACCCTAGTAACAAGAGTTTAGCATCTCTTTTGGCATGCCACATGTTCTATGAATTGATTAAGTTTCATGGAAGAAATTGTTTCTTAATCATTCTGTATTACTGGGGAAAAATGTTAGAAGTAAAGTTGTGAAGCATCATTTTAAGTGATATTCTGCAATTGAGAAAGGTAATGCTCAACATAAAAAGTATTCTTTTCTAGACATACTAAAAATGGTCAACACTTGCTATTGTGCTAATTTTAATATCATTTACCTTTTTTTTCAGGCTTTTGACATGGGAAGATGGATACTGTGATTGTTTGAAACCTAGAGAATCCATGGGAAGCATACTAGGTGATATTTGCTTCAAAGAATCGGGTGAAATATTTTCTTTTAGTTGTGAATCAAATTCAAATGATGGAAGAGTGGGTGAATATCCAATTGAATTAGCAGTGGCTGATATGTCAAGGGTTCAATATGCATTGGGGGAGGGGTATTATTCTGCTTTACCCTTGTTGTTTCTCATTGTGTTCATCATTGCTCAAATTTTCCAATGGAATGTACACATATTTACACAAAATAAGTAATATTCACATAATATAATCATGATCAGATGTTTAGTGGCTGGAGCCTTAAGAATGCAAACCTACAGGTATTTGCCTTAAGCTTCATCACATGCCTTTTTGGAACGTGAGTTCCGCATTGCCATCAATCATCTGAGATGTGATTCTGTACTGGCCCACATACCCACCACTTTTCCTCTTTTTTGGTTTCTCGGAGTAGGAAATTTTCAGACAAAAGGTAGGATAAAAGCCTGATAACTCAACAGTGAGCAACAGAATCACTTGATGTAATTCACGGATCACTTCAGTTGACCGAGTCAGGTTCACTTATCAAAAAAAAAAAAAAAAAAAAAAGTTGACCAAGTCAGGATTGTTTGAGAAGGATGAATTAAACTTGCAAGTTCTAGAACTTGCCTAGGATAGTATTTTGTTCAAAATACCTTTGTTTTTGTTTCACTCTTAATGAAGGTTATATTGATTGTAATATAGTAGGAGACACTTGGAGCAGTAAACTCATACAAAATATTAGGACACTTTACCATGTAAGTTGTTACTAAAAAAATATAAAATATGTTGACCAAGTCAGGATTGATTGAGAAGGATGAATTAAACTTGTAAGTACTAGAACTTGCATAGGATAGTATTTTGTTCAAAATAACTTTGTTTTTGTTTCACTCTTAATGAAGTTTGTATTGATTGTATTATAGTAGGAGACACTTGGACCAGTAAACTCATACGAAATATTAGGACTTTTTACCATGTAAGTTGTTACTATTGTTAAATTAGGTAATTTGACCACTGGCTATTAGCTTGACTATATCTCCTGCCACCCCAAGAGGGGGGAGGTCTAGGGTTCAAGTTTTCTGGTTGGGAACTTATCAAAATAATATGAATGAATTAAATAATAAGTAAACATGATTTTTTTATTTTTTATTTTTTTAAATAAGGAAATTAAGGGAAAAAAAAAAAAAGAAGGTAAGCAAACAACTTCCTAGGTAGTCAAAATTCTCTTTCTAGAACAGCAAATGGAAGATCTCATCAACAAGAAAGAATGATGTGCATCGCCATATACCCATGTCAAAGCCACTTAAAAAAATAGATGCCACTTACTTGATTGCTCACCCATTTGGAACTTGGACACTACTTGTTTATCACCCAAGTCATACTCCGATGAGTCCATTGAAATCTAGACTCCCATCTAGGTAGCCATTAGCTATCATACTTCATGAGGGCAACTGCTGAACTGTGTTCTTACAAGTTGAATTTCAATTATAGCAGGGAAAACAAAAATGCAAATTGTAACATAATTGTAATTGATTATGAAAATTCTAAACTTAAGCAGGGTTATTCATGAAGTGGCATATACGGGGAACCATTGCTGGCTTTTCTGCGACAACATATCAGCTGGTGAATTCAACTCTAAGTTAGTTGCCAAGGTGAGTTGCCAGTTAACATAAAAAGAAAATGACCAAAGTTTATAGTCGCGCAAGTACTGGACAGAGGACTAATATAATTCTTCCATTTGCAGAGTCAAGATGAATGGCAACTTCAGTTTTTGGCAGGGATCAAGGTAATTTATTTATTGAATTATACTATGAGTTATTTATTGGTTAAACTCCCTACATTGTGTATCTGTATCTGTGTAAGGAACACTTTCTAAACTGGTTTAACTACATCTGTGGATAAATGCTGTGTTGGTTGATCTTTCATACAATGGTCATGCAGACTATTTTGCTGGTACCAGTTGTTCCACATGGAGTTTTGCAACTTGGCTCATTGGAAATGGTGTGTGTTCAATTTTTTATTTTATTTTATTTTATTTTTTTATATATATATATATAATTATAATTGTCATGCATTGATGTGGGAGTAGTGTTCCTGCTTAATCATCATAATAGTGGTCTTATGTTTGCCTTTGTTCTTCTATCAAAACTTCAGGTTGCTGAAGATCTGGCACTGGTTGCTAATATCAAAGATAATTTTAATGCTCATCAAATTGTTTTAGGGTATTCACCTTCTACCTCTAACGGGGAATTTTTAGCCCAGTCATCATCATCATCAATGATGTCTGTTCTCATGGATAACTTAGATGTGCCGTCAACAACTGCTATGAATGAAATGAATTCTGAATACATAAAGGCTGTTGATAGTGTCAAACCCAAAAACAACAAACTTTCAACTGCAGATCAAATGATGCCACAAGGCACATTTCAAGATGCATACCACATTTCTGAAAAAAATATGCCAGAAATCTTCAATGGTGCAAGTGAATATGATATTAATGTTCGATCAATGTGTTTAATTGAAGTATCAAAACCACTCACTCAGTCAGTAGATGCCATTAAGTCAGAGATGACGGAGAGTAACATGTTCAGATTTTCTGGTCTAGAAGAAGAATTACAGGCTTTTCCCTGCACTAACAACTGCAATGTGAGGGAGTTTGGAGAATATGCTTACCAAACTATGATCTCTTACTCTGATGGAGGTATGATGGAACAGCCATTTTTAGACAAAGATTCTGATAATAATGGTCTTAAAATTGCAAATAGTTTATTCAGCTTTCCCATAGACTCTGAGCTGCCAATTGCAAATAGTTTATTCAGCTTTCCCATAGACTCTGAGCTGCACAAAGCACTAGGGCCTTCTCTCTTGGAGCGGCATAGCGAGGAAAAGTTGTGTGATTCATCTGTCGTAGTTGAGGATACTTGTGGCAGCTCAAGTTTGATCTACAATGGAAATCTTAGCCACGGTATTGAGTCATCAGCCTGGGAATCCATTGGATGCTTTGCCAAAGGAGATCTCAGCCATGGTGTTGAGTCATCAGCCAGGGAATCCATTGGATGCTTTGCCAAAGGAGATGACGTGGAACATCTCTTGGATGCTGTAGTTGCCAATGTATGTAGCAGTTCAGATGATTTTTCATCTAACATGCCCAACAATGTCAAGTTAACTATGACATCGTCGGGACAATTTGCTGCTGCTTCCTCCACGGCAAGAAGTCAATCAGAAAGAACTGCCTTTGTGGGAGAGGGTGCATTTCCACGGAGCGGTGCAGTATCTGCATTTGCTGCAAGGGACATAAATTCTCTTACTAACTCTACACCATCAGCTTCTTCATTTGAGAGCATGATGAGCACATTGATCGAGGAGCAGGAGCAGCAGCAGCAGAAAGAAGGGTACAGTTACACGCAGTCCAGGAAGGGATCAAAGATATTAAATGCCAGCAAAAGAAGGGCCAGACATGGTGATAACCACAGGCCAAGACCACGGGATAGACAATTGATTCAGGATCGGGTCAAAGAGTTGCGTGAACTTGTCCCAGATGGTGCAAAGGTGTGTTCTTTTTCAGGGTTACTCTTTGCTGCAGTTAAGACAGATTATCACTTATCTGCTCTCTCTCTCTCTCTCTCTCTCTCTCTCTCTCTCACTCATTTAAATAATGTTTGCTTTCTCTTCCATGATAAATGCAGTGTAGCATTGATGGCCTGTTAGATCGAACAATAAAGCACATGCTGTTCTTAAGAAGTGTTACTGATCAGGCTGATAAATTGAGGCAGTGGGTTCATCAAGAGGTAAATGAATGTTGTCCACTTTATGTTGATTTTTCTTTTCTTGCCTTGTCAATTGTTCACCTTTAGGTGTACCATCACTTTAGCAAGCCATCTTCTTCAGTTGAAATCACGCATTCTGCTTTTCTAAAGGATAATGTCAAAAAACCTAAATATAATATTAGCTTATTTAGGATATATTATTTAGTGAAAATATTGACAAGTTCAGGCTCTACAATGGAGCTGTAATCAGTGCGTCGATTCTTTGGGGGTAATAACTAGTAAATTTACGACTGCAGCGGGCTTATACCTAGGGTTGGCTCTGAGTTTCTATTTTGGTTGGTGGCTGTGCATGTACAGGAGGGATGTCTTATGGTGTCTTATCTTTGTTGACAACAGAGATTTGATTGATGAGGTTATAGAATTGTGCTTGCTTGGTTCAATGTAAAAAAGCTCGTAAGTGTCTAACCAAAGTTTGACCAAAAACATATGGATGTATATTGAAAACTTGAAAGGGAATTTGGAATGACTTGATTCAGGTTGAAGGATGTACAAGGAGAAGAGGAAGGGAAAACGAAATGGTCTGAGATAGAGACTAAATACTTAAGGATCAATGTTGCCATTGTAGTTAGAATAGCAGACTGGAATTTATTACCCTAAATTATTGAAACTATGCTCAATTGAATTGATTCGTGCCATCCCCCAGATACAAGCAACCCGTCATTTTTGTCTCGAGTCCACAAATATTTGTACGAGCAAATTGTAAACCTCAGAGGAGGTTAGGGTCTCTTCTCCACACCTTGGTGTCCATCAGTGCACTTTGTCCATCTTCTGAAGCGCCCTGAAGTTGATGTAACGCTTCCCTTGAAAGAATAACGTTATATTTACTTAAACATTCTCAGGATTCATGATTATAGGGCTTTGATAAGTGCCCTATGCTGACTGTCAGTTACATAATAACTTAACTTTCTCCATTTTTTCGTCTTTGGAATCAACTTGACAATAGGCAGACGTTAGACACAATACAGAAAGAATTATCAAAAAGAAAGATAAGACATTGTTAGTAATATAACAAATATTTTCATGTACAATATTCTTATGTCTATTAACTACATCTGAAGACAAAAATGAAAAGAACATCATAACTGATGTGTTGGTGACGTAGTTAACTGACTTACGCATTAAGATTATTTCAAAAGACGGCTTAAGTTTCCATTCCAATAATTAATAATTCAGGAAATATTTCAACATGAAGACAAATGCTTCTCTTGGCAACTTGTGCATTTGCAACAATTTCAGACCATAGCTCATTGGATGTTGAGATCTTAAGAGCTAACTTGTCATCCACTTAAAAGTTTTATTACTTCATCTTTGTTGTGAAAAAGAAAAAATGGTCCTTATGTGAGGTCAAATAGTTGGTCATGAGACATGACTAAGTGATCTATCAGAAAATGAATGAAACGAGCTTAAAAAAGTAGAACACAGATGTTTGTGCATCTGATCTCTACATGAGAATAAGTTGTTATTTAAAAACTTAAAATGTCAAATGCATGAAACTTGAAATGTGTAGAATCTGGAATTCTTTACAGGTAACTGGTGAGAAGAATGTGAAATCATCTGAATCCAAGGGTGGTCATCAGGGTGGGACAAGCTGGGCTTTCGAACTGGGAAGTGAGCTCCAAGTGTGTCCCATAGTTGTGGAAGATCTTGAATGTCCAGGGCACATGCTAATAGAGGTCTGTTCTGTGGCTTTACTTGTAGTGTTGTATCAACTGCTTAGAAACTTGTAGCATCGTAGACAACTGCTTAATTATTGATGAGAAAGAAATGAAAAACGACCATCTCTATCTCTCCTATATAAAAGAAATATAGAATTCACCTGGAACATGATATGTTTGTTCTTTTGCTGGGCATGCTTCTAATTCAAATTTATAGCAGATGCTTTGCAATGACCACGGTTTCTTCCTAGAGATTGCTGATGTTATTCGTCGTTTGGAGTTAAATATCTTGAAGGGTGTGATGAAAACCCGCTCTGACAAAACGTGGGCTCACTTCATTGTTGAGGTTAGATTATTTTGAAACCTGCACAGTCAGTATGCATAATTTTACATGGTAAACATTACTAAAAACACTAGTTCTGTTGTGGACACAGGCTTCGAAGGACTTTCACAGATTGGATATCTTCTGGCCACTAATGCAGCTTCTGCAACGAAACCAATGTTCCATACCAAGCAAGATTTGACGCATATTATGCCCAGAGCTCATGTGAGGAACAGCCGGGAACCATCTGTCTTAGCTTCCAATGTATTATACTAAAATCTGAAATTGGTCGCAGCTATACATCATCTTCGTATTATGAGCTATACATCATCTTCGTATTATGAGCCATTTGAGTCACAAGAATTGCTTGTATGTATTGTATGAGTAGAAGGAATGTATTATTTATTTACGAAGATTGGATTCAGTTTCGATTTCAGTTTGATGTTTAAGACTAGAGCTTGCAGAAGAATGAACAATTCTCAGATGCATGTGTCCTCGCAGAAAAGCTTGGGCATACATATCACATACAAAGGCATGTCAAGTGCATCTATTTTTTACCGTAGTAAAGATAATAACTAGCCTAACAAATTGTCTTCTACGCTTGTCAATGCTCGGACCTAAGTCACACAAAGCGGGACAAAGTGGGAGCGAAAATGAGTATGAGAGCCGTAAGATTTAAATCACGGAGTGTGGGAACGGGTGTGCAGAGTGGAAGTGAGCGGAAACGAGTATGAGAGCGGTAAAATTTAAATCACAGTGTGGGAATAAGTGTGTGGAGTGGAAGTCTATGCAGGGCATGTGGGAATGGGTGCGCGGAGTGAAGTGTGAGGGTGACAATGGGTGGGTGTAGGTGCAAAAATTCGTTCAACTTTGACAAGTCAACGAATTCTCTACAATTACTAGAAACTTAGGATTACCTAAGTATCCTGCATGGAGTGTGGGAATCAAAACGTAGTTCTAGCGATGAGAATTGGATCTTTATTTTTAGGGGTTTTGCCCTTTTTTCTGTGTCCCCCTTACTGAGGGTCTTGAGCCCTTTTTATATAGGAAAAACCATAATCAATTCCTTTTAGCACTCGCATTGCTTGTCCCTTAAGAATTTGCATCATACTTTCCTTATAACAAGGATTTACATTTTTTTGTTTCCATAGATTATAATTCTTCTTCTAATAGAACTGTTACTAAAATGGGTTTAGTAACATATTCGTAATTGGGCTCGGGATCCCATTGTAACGACCCCAACTGATGCCAAAATTTTTAAAAAAAATTCGGCATGACCTCTGCTAAAAATTGTCCTACAACAATCTATTTAAAAGCATTTTTAACCTGTCCCAACCCAATAAACATCTACTACATTCCATGGTGGTACAACCACATGCTATATCATCCAAGTATCATAATTACAATCCCAAAATACAAGATTAAAATCAAATATCTATGCCTTACAAGCCCATAGGTATATGTATAATATTTAAAGTCCATAAGTCATCGTACAAAATACATTATGCTTAGTCTTACAAAAATAGAGTGACCCAAGTACAAAAATAACAAAATAAGCTCATAATTCATGCTAAGTCTGTGGTAGAATGTCATCCGCCACTTCTTTCCCGTTTCCTATAAAAAATGTTAAATAAAAGGGGTGAGCAAAATTGCTCAATAGGTAGTGCCTAAGACACACATCTTGTATCCCCGTGAATCCAAACAAGGAATAGGATAATAGGAATTCGGGATCATGCAAAGCCGGGAAAACAAAATATCAATTCTAAGTTCAAAGCAAATAAATCTTGTGCCATGAATGCAATGTTATGCATGTCACCCTCCATTTTCAGAAAAATATCATCACTTCACAAACAGTTAATATAACCCGCCCTTTGGTGACTCTACAGTGACACGAGAGAAGGATTGGCTACTGTCCTTGACCCTTGGTACCTCCGCAGTGTCATTTGGGGCCTAGATAGTTCAACCACGCTAGGACAATCTCCTTAGTTCCCTCTAGGCTATATTAACACACCGGCCCTTTGGTGACTCCGCGGTGACCGGGTTTTTCTCAAAAAACCGTTTCATCAAATTCTCCCCAAAATCCCTTTTTCATCTTTTTCAAATCATTTCACCCTTTTCATACCCCATGCTTTGAATGCATGTTACATGCCTTTTTAATACCATAAAAATTTAGGGAAAATTAATGTTACATAATTAGCATGCTTCCTCATAACAATTTTTAACAATTTAATAAACACAACAAATATAGAAGATCAACAACGGAAAATTAATGTTACATAACTAGCATGCTTCCTCATAACAATTTTTAACAATTTAATGAACACAACAAGCATAGAAGATCAACAATTAGGCATACTTTCCATGTAGAACAACAAATACACATAATAGCATGCTTCACATACACAATTAAAATCATTTAATAGATTATCAGTTCAAATCTAGCATGATTGATAACAATTAAAGTAGGGAAACTCACAAAGGAACAAGAATTTGAGTATTAGAGACCCCTACCCACTTTCAAGCAAAACTCCCAATTTCTTCACCTCAAACCCTAGGATTTCGAATCTCCTATAGTGCATCAATCAAGGAATTGCTCCTATCAACGTGTTGATCTCGTCGTGGGCTTCGAATAGCCGCAAACGGCTCTTAAAACACCAAGAAATGAGAAAGATATCAAGAGTGGAAGTTGCAAAAGAAAAAAAAATACAAAGAGGAAGATACAGATAGACAGAGACAGGAGAGAGAATGACATAACAGAGCAACAAAAAAAAAAAAAACGTCGTCTTATGACCACTTTAGAAAAAAAAACATCTGTGGGTCCCTCCACTAATGTACATATATATAAAAATCACTTAAACATTACATTATACCATAAAAATTTGGGGAGAATTAATGTTACACAACTAGCATGCTTGCTCATAACAATTTTTAACAATTTAATGAACACAACAAGCATAGAAGATCAACAATTAGGCATACTTTCTATGTAGAACAACGAATACACATAATAACATGTTTCACATACATCATTAAAATCATTTAAGAGAGTATCAGTTCAAATCTAGCATGATTGACAACAATTAAAGTAGGGAAACTCACAAAGGAACAAGAATTTGAGTATTAGAGACCCCTACCTCACTTTTAAGCAAAACCCCCAATCTCTTTACCTCAAACCCTAGGATTTCGAATCTCCTATAGTGCACCAATCAAGGAATTGCTCCTATCAATATGTTGATCTCGTTGTGGGCTTCGAATAGTCGCAAACGGCTCTTAAAAACACCAAGAAATGAAGAAGATATCAAGAGTGGAAGTTGCAAAAAGAAAAAAAATACAGAGAGGAAGATACAGAGAGACAGACGGGAGAGAGAATGACATAATAGAGCAACAAAAAAAAAAAAAAAAAAAAGTGGTCTTATGACCACTTTAGAAAAAAAACATCTGTGGGTCCCTCCACTAATATACACACATATATAAATCACTTAAACATTACACCCATCATCTCAGGCCTTCTTAATGAGTTCAGCCCATTATGCTTAATTAACCCGGCCCAAGCTTCTTGTATAGGCCCAATTTGAAGGTTGAATAGTCTCAGTATTTGTGGTGGTCCCATTATGAACTGATGTGTCTTATTTTAATTGGAAGGGGAGATTTTTGCCCTTGGGTGTGCGGAGTCAAAGTGTGTGGAGAGCGAGGGTGAGAACGGGTGGGTGTGCGGAATCGAAGTATGTGCAGAGCACGTTTATAAACTTAAAAATCTGTGACTTAGGCTTGGACAGTTTGGGATTCATAAGAAGGTTTTTTAAGAAGGCTCTCATTTTATTCAACCTTTCTTTTTTTAAAAATAAATAATTATATTACAATATTTCAATATATTTTTATTCTTTTTTACGTTCAAACTAACTCAACATTGCCGAATCTATATTAGCTAAATTGGACTCTTATTATTCAGCCTTTTATTTTAAAAAGATAAATCACTATTTTTCAATTTTTTTATTTGGGAAAATTCTATATAACCCCATTGTGACCGAATTATCAACTGCTTGATTTTCATCTATGGTAATGGTTCAGTCTTGCATAAACGGTTGTATTGCATAAACGGTTGTATTGCACTTGATAAATTTTACAATACTTCTTGTTTGGTGAGGAGTAAATGAACTCTCACATCTGTTTGTATATATATAGCCAAATGCGTTGCAATGAATGGTGTACAAATGTCAATGATCCAACGATTGGAGTATTCTAAAATAAGGTTTTAGAATGCTCAATCCTAAAGAGTTGGCTCGTGTAGATAAGAATTTGGTCCTCGTGTCTCATGAAGTATCATGCCTATTGTTTGAATGCTCCTGGGTGCAAACAATTTCTCGAGGGAGGTGTGTAAGTACCAATTAAAAAAAAAGGGTTCTAGAATGCTCAAAAAAAAAAAAAAAAAAAAAAAAAAAAAAAAAAAGAGAAGAAGAAGAAGAAGAAAGAAGAAGAAGAAGAAAATCATCTCCCTAATACTAAAGTTCTAGAGAATTTTAGCTTATTCTATACAAATCTTTACAATTCAAGACAACTCTAGAGATAACTCTAGAGAGAAGTTTAGGATATTCCGGTGTATGTGAACTATCCATTTTATCTTTTTAATGTGCGCCTCCTGTCTGCATGGCGTCTCTATGGCATAACCTTCTGTGACAAGGGAGTGACCTAAGTCACACAATCTTATTGCTCTCGCTCTCGCTCTCGCTTTCACTTTCACTCTCACGCTTCGCATGTGCCTCATTTATATTTCACTATTTGTGACTTAATTTTGTCGTTTTTGCGCTTCCGCTCTTAAATTCGCTTTCACTTTCATTTTATGTGACTTAGGGCCTGACACCTTACTTACTTCCGTTAGTTCAGCATTTTTTAAGGTAAACTTATTTCAATTAATATTGAAGAGGCAATTGGGTGCTCCAAACATAATTTTATTGACCTATTTGCTTTCCTAAGAGAGCCATTTCATATTGGACTTTATTTGCTGCTTCCCCAGCAGCCAAATCACAGATATACCAAAGAAAAAACACTTGTTTTTTTTATTGTCTCTGCGTTTTAAGGATTCAGAATGAGGTTACAACGCAGCAATGCTACAACCTGCTGGTTGTCGCTTGTCACGAAAATGGTTGTTTCCATTTTCTAGCATTATCTAAATAATAGTACTATTTTATTAAATTCTCTCTTGGTTCCTAAGAAAATGGACAAAACACAATAATTAAATTAACACCCTCTCTTAGATTTTTCGTCATCAGCTGCAAGAGAAAACATGGTCCCCCACTGAATCGAGATAAATACAAGGCTTCACCGGGTCTAGCTTTTAATTCAGGAAATTCGGAAATGTATTTAAGCTTAGGTTATGTTCGACTGTATGAAAAAATTAGAGTTTTGAAATTGAAATTGGTGAAATTAAAGAAAAATAACTCACAAAATTAAAATAATTTTTTTTTCAGTTTTACCAATTCAAATTCCAAAGTTTCAATTTCACGTAACCGAAGGTAGCTTGCATTCGGCTACATGGAATTGAAGTTTTAGAATTGAAATTTGTTAAATTAAAGAAAAGTAACTGACAAAATTAAAATAATTTTTTTTTTTCAATTCCACCAATATTAATTCCAAAACTCCAATTGCATCCAGCTGAACACAGCCTTATAATTTTAGGATTATTAAGAGTTGTGGTCTAGACTTCTAGCAGTACTTTATATCTTTCAAAACAAATGACCAAAGTTGAAACTCATAAGTTGGTGTGTGATTTAATTTTTTCATCTAAGGTATATATAAAAAAAATCTCATTTCTTGAGACATCAAGCAATGTTCAATTTTAACTTGCAGGACACATATAGGCCTGTATTTACCCAAAAAAAAAGAAAAGAAAAGAAAAGAAAATACAAAAGGACTAAAAAAAAAATTAAGAGATAATTTTTAGCAATTAAAAATTTTAGAGGGAAGCATTATGTAAAATTTCTCATATATATATATATAAATGTCTATAAAAATAAAAAGTATATACATAATATATGGGTGGTTTTTTTTTTTTTTTTGGGGGGGGGGAGGCTTAAATTGTTTTCTTTTGAACTTATATCATCTAGAAAAACAATAACTTATCAATTGATCATGAGAAATGTAGTGTTTTCTGATATTAATTAGCTCTCATTTTCAAATAATATAAAGTTTACCATCTCCTTACCCTTATCCCGCAGAAGTCTTTTTTTTTTTTTGGGCGGGGGGGTGTTGGGGGGTTACAAATCTTGCTATCCCAGCTAGTGATAACAAGTTCAAAGATAACAGAATAACATAGAAATGTTCCAAATGATTATCAATTCCAGTAAGAATACACCAGAGATTTACATAACTTTGCTTACAGACATATCCACAACAATACACACAATGTATGAAGTGTTTATTTAGTAGATAGATGGTAGAGCTACTGCACAAGTAATACAAAGGTTGCTGTTTAGACCACTTCATGTCATGAGCTGCCTAGGCACTACCTGCTGTATATCCGCCATCAATACAAATGACCTGCCCGGTGATGTATGAAGCAGCAGGAAGGCAAAGGAACGCCACCAGTGATGAAATCTCGTTAGGCTCCCCAATGCGAGCCAGAGGAGTTTTAGCCAATAGTGGTATAAATTTTCTGCCGTACTCCTCAAGAGCCCCTTGACCCTGGAGAAAATGAAAGTTGAATTTTAACAAATCCTGCAAGAGCTATGCAACTGCTTTTTCTCGTCTGTGAACCTAAATGGATACCGGAAATTATAACAAAATAGTCATGGCACTAGAAAAGAAGGGGGTTTGCGTTGTGGAGGAACATTACATCATCTGGTTTGATCGAGGTTCTGACAGCCCATGGCGTGACAGCGTTTGTACGAATGTTGTCCTTTGCCCATTCACATGCCAAGCTCCTTGTAATTTGGTTGATTGCAGCTGAAAAAAGGCGAGAAACGTAGTTAATTTTGAAAAGTGTCTTTTGAGCAATGGTTTTCAAATTTTCTACTACATTACAGGAAAATTACCTTTAGATGCTGAATACATCGAAAGTGTAGGTAGAGCCGTCACACCAGCAATTGAGGAAATGAATACTATATTCCCCCGTCCTGATTCTTTCAAGAGCGGGTATGCTAGTTGGCACAGATGGTAAGGGGACTCGACATTGGTTCCCATTAAATTTGAGAAATCGTCCGAATTATGATCTGTAATTCGTTTAATTACAAGTGTCGCAGCATTGTTCACCTAAGACACGAACACCATCATTCCATCTAGGTAACTCCGGCATAACATTGAAAATAAGAAATAGCAAGCATGAACTGACAACAATATAATGGTAAAAATTATATGATTAACACATGAATGAACATAAAAGCCTGCAATCCGTAACTCAGATAGTCTTAATTTGGCACTGGGACTAAATGTGGAAGGCAACTCTGCTAGGTCTAGTCAAGGAGACTTTAAATCATTACAATGTAAATCAAAACAACCACATGTTAGTGTAATAAGTACTACATACTTTTACTTGATAGATCTGAAGTTATGCTATTCCTTAAATTGTTTTTTATTTTTATTTTTATTTTTTATAAGCTGAATTTGTTCTTTCTTTTACACAGATTTCAATCTTTCAATTTTGAAAATTGTCATGCATAATTCTTCTTTTGACAGCATCAAATTGAAGTTGGTTTGGCAAAATCTTATTTATACTAAAAAGTGAGGAGACAATCTTATATATTGTACTGAAATAATAAGGGGATACAGAAGACAAACTAGTCATAATTGACACCGATACTTGAGTTCTTAAACTATCTTTGTTCCAGTGCTCAACTCACTAAACTGTCTCCCATTTCTGAAAAATTCGACTTTCCTGTTCCTTATTCTTCTTTCCATTTCTCATCTACATTTCTACAAAGTTTGTGAAACCTCATAATCACATATCTCTCACTAGTCATTTTCTCAGAATTAAGTATGAACTAATAGCCAACGCCCATATCTATAAAGTGATAAGACATGAAATCTTTTAGGGCCCTATAAAATACCATTAATTATTTTCGTGGCCAATAATAAAGAATAAACATCACAATAAGTTGTTTTCGTGGCCAGCAACAAAGAATAAACTTCACAATCAGCTCACTTTCATACTCAATAAGAAATAATGGCAAGCTATTATTATTGTTAGACATACTTTTCTTCCGCATCATCTTTGCTCTGAGTAACAAACCCTTTCATTGATTTTTGTTAGAAAATTTAGAAAATTGATTCATGATCCCACATAGCTTACCATGCTAAGAAAAATTTGATTTTTGTTAGAAATTTAGAAAATTGATTCATGATCCCACGTAGCTTACCATGCTAAGAAAAATTAGGTAAGTGTTGATTATCAATTTCCTCAAAAACTCAGAACTTTTAAGGTATAAGCCTGACAACTTAAATTAAATTCAAATACACTCTCTCTCAAGGACAATCCCATCTTACAACTGGAGAGACAACCAAAGTTGGAAACTCGAACTTAGTCCTATAAAGAAATGGACCGAGACAATGTATATCAAGCTCTAGTGCTAGAGGACGTTCTGTCCAAATTAGATACAGATGTAAACATGATCAATATATGTTTTGCATATACTATGTTAAAACTTACAAGGATGTTGAGCTTGCCATCGAACACAGAAGAGACAGTCTGCATCAGCTCCTCTCTTTGAACTCTCAACGACATGTCACAAACAGAGCCACTTACTTTAAATCCCTTTCCTTCCCATTCTTGTAACCTTTCATTGAGCTCCTTTTGGTTTCTGGAACACGTATGAACAGCGGCACCAAATCCTGCTAGTTCCTCTACGATGGCATATCTTAAATTCGTTCATCAAACCAAACAGCAATAAAGCACTCATCAGAATAAAAGAAATATAAAAGTAATATGTTTATGTGTGCGTATGTGTGTGTGAGAGAGAGAGCAATTTACCCAATGCCTCTGGTACCACCAGTGACAACAGCAGTCATCCCCTTAAGTGACCATCTCTGGTCTCTGCAACTCTGCTCTTCTCCAGCCATGTTTGTGTTTCAGCAGCTCTGTGTTGTTCACTAATTTATATACATTTACGTAACTAACACGAAAACAATGACAAATACTTTATAGCCCACTTGAGAACTGTTAGATCGGAACATAAACACAATGTCAATGCTGTATGATATATGCATAAAAACAATGAAAGTGAGATAAGTTCAAATTATAGGCCTTACTTGTTTAATTAGCAGAATAATTAAGTAACATGCTTCGATTAGACCAATTAAGTGAGTTGGCTGCTAATTAAGCTACACCCTTCGATTAGATCAAGTGAGAATAGGGTTGGCAATGAATACAAAATAAATAAGACAGTGGAATTGTTTATTTTAATAGAATTATTGGGGAAATATTTTCAGTGTTGTCGCTCACTACATGAGTGATCTCACTTAGTAGGCCTTCAACTGAAACATCAGAAATAACAGGGCCAGTTTTAAGTATGTGAAACATTTTTTTCCTTATTAAAAATTCTTTCAGAGATTTTCAAGTACTACCCCCCAAAGAAAAGAATTGAATGGTTTAGAAAACTTTTTCCCATATATTCTAAAATTTGTAATCACATGGCAAAAGCCCATTTGAATTTGTCAATTCTGTATCTTAATCAAGCGATGAATAGTATGAAAAGGATATATGTTGACATTATATATGTGTGTAGCTATGGACCGGCAGCATCTTTGAGGTGCCGAGTCGGCTGAAATAGTAAAAAATGCGCAAGTCTATCCAACAACAGGCATCTTTCAATTTGCACAAGAAAAGAAAATAGGCATCTTTAATTGGTCTTAAATAGAAAAAGATAAAGATAAAGAAAATTTGGTTTTAATGTCTTATTTTATGATGGGTGTAATCTCTCCAAATGATCCCCTCGTTTGAGTTTCGTGTATGTGTTTGCTGATCATAAAATTATTAATTACTAATAAAAAATACATCAACACATAAAAATTACTACTTGACCAGAAAGTTTGATTTTTATTTTGTTTTTCAAAGAACAATTAATGGGCTATCTAGAAAGTTTGAAATTATTTTCGAAAGTGAAATAAGGATCACACAATTATCTGTCTAAATAATTTGTTTTGACTTTGACCCACGTTTGTTGGATGGAATTTAATACGTTTTTACTTATTCAACTCTTGTGTCATCATCCCCTTCCTAACCTAAACTGATCTCTATTCATAATTTATGAAAAGAGGATCAATAAACAGTCCACCATATCCCATTACCTTAATGATTCCACCACTTACGATAACAAAATCTTAGTGAATGTAAAGAGGATTAGAAACAGGGCATATATACTAGGTTACATATAATATAACACACGCAATATATATATATATATATAATATGAAATTGCACATAGACACGAACCTCTTTTGGTGCCGAATTTGAAGGATCTGCTGCTATTCTAAATGAAAATTTCTTATTGGGCCTTGGTAGTTGACTGACTAGCCCATGAAAAGACTGAAGGATTTGGCGCGCATGATTTTTTTCGGGCGGAATTTGGTGAGGAAGATGAAATTTATTTATTTTATTTTATTTATTTATTTACTATTATTTTTTTTTTTTGAAAAGACTATATATATATATTACCACAAGAAATCGAGGCATGATGGTGTTTTATATCACCGGAGATGGAATAGGTTGAGTGGTTTGAAATCTTTGAATGAGATGTGAATCGTGTCAGTGTAAGGTCAGCTCTTTTAGATAAAAAAACGTTGTAGGAGTGAGTAATGGAGTATATTGTCTTTATCAAAAAATAACACAACAGTCTAACCTCTTTCCAAATATGTTGTCAATTAGTGCGTCATAAATCCGATCCCGCGACTTTAATCTTTTGTATCGGTGATATATTAATGAAAAACTTATTCAACATGTATATAAATTATTTACATAAATAACATAATGACAGAGACACAAAAGAAAAGAGAACGTGATTTGATTTGATCCACTGAGTCATATACTTTTACACTTAATTAGGTATATTTCAATCGTTTGACAATAGAAACACGACTTGGCTAGGTTTTGGGTGTAGAGTTTTACGTCTCTCTCATTGTGACTTGTTCGGAGAGTCGTCACGTGACTTCTTTGCACGCCCAAAATGTATGATGCGGGTTGGATTTACAAAAACAGTCAGTCCATTAATATCCTATGGATTTTCCCAAAAGAATAGGCCTAGGAAACAGAGAATATACAAGTGTATTTATATACTTTTATTTATTTTAAGAAAAATTACACCGACTCTCTTAAGGTTTCATCAATATTGACTTTCTCTTTTATTTGTCAAATAACAATGACCTCTCCAGTCAAGAATTGATGGCGTTAACGGTTCTAATAAAATTACTTTTCTACCCTTTTATATCTAAATTGTATTTTATTAAAAATCTAATGTAATTTGAAAAGACAAAAATGCCCAAAATTCCCATTAAAACAGGATATTCAGTCACCTTTCTGTCACCGCCGAATCTTCATCACCGAGCACCATTACTTGGCCTCCTGCTCAAATAAAGAGGAAGCAAGAACATAAAACCATCCATTAACAAAGCTAGCTTTAAATGCGCCTATACCCAAAAAAAAAATAATAATAATAATAATAATAAAAAATAAATGAGCATTTTGTTTCTAACATAGGATTATTATTGCCACTACTGAATCCATCATGATAAGTTGAAAAATTAGCTATCGGTGCACGTGTGGGTCATCATCCTAAATTATGTACATTGACTAATTCATAGATCAGGACAATAATTACAACCAGAAGGGTTCATCATGCAACAACATCCACTAAGCAATTGTGGAAATTGACTTTCGTCAATCTATTCGTTTGACCCATTAGAGCACTGCCTTGCTCGCTAGCACCAGCCCCTCTTCATCACGAGTTGCCATCCTCTTTTTTATCATCGAAATTCGCGACGGTTCGAGGAAGGTAGTCGGCAGTTAACCTGTGGAGAAGAAAGGGGAAGTGTTTGCCTATCAACTTGTTTACGTTTTGGATTTGATTGAGGAAAGAGAGTAGAGAGAGAAAGAGATTAGAGAGAAAATTTGAGGAGAGGGGAGAAATAATTATGAGGGTTCTGAAAAAAAAATTTGTTTACGCTTTTGGATTTGATTGAGGAAAGAGAGTAGAGAGAGAGAGAGAGAGAGATTGGAGAGAAAATTTGAGAGGAGGGAATAAATAGTTATGAGGGTATTTTAGATACTTGCTTTATTTACATATCTTTGAGGGGTAGAATGGGAATTTAATAATAAAAAATTCATGACATCATCATTTTCTGTTAGTAACAGTATTTTTCATTAATGGAGGAAAGGTCCTATAAATAGGTATACCAACCTTGAGAGGTCATAGCACTTGGTCGATCTCAGGAGAGGTCAGTGTAATTATCCCTTTATTTTATTAAGATTGGCTCATTTGGTCGATCTCATAGCACTTTTGATTCGAGGGCACAGACCACCTACGAATTGTCCCACAATAAACAATCTGCTATACTAAAAATGTCAAAAAAAAAAAAAAAAAAAAATTCCCCATTGGTATATAGTATAAGCACATAAATTTCTAATATTTAAAAATATGTGAAAATTGCTCCCTAATATCTGATAACAGTCAATTTTGACCCCCCAAAAAAAATTATTATAAGATCTCTAAAAAACCCTTTATATACCCAGAAAAAACAATCAAACAAAGCCCAAAGAACAACAACCAGAGTGCTTAAAAGGCCGCAAAGGATAACTAATCATCCAGTAAGACAGAGCCCAATTAACTTTATCCATAGGACAAAAGGCCCAACTTGGCCTGAATCCGAGGTACAGTGGCCCACAGAGGGAATAGAAAGATAAACATGATAAGTTGACCCAGAGATCAGGCCCGTAAATTCGAAAAAACTGCTACTAAGTTTTAACGGCAGCAAATAAATAAATAAATTATTAGATGGTTCTGCACTATTTATCTGTTTGCATAGATGAAATATTTTTATTATTTTTAAATTTTTATTATTGATATTTAAATTTGAATCACTTCTCAATTTTACAGTAATCTTGCTAAAAAATATATATAAAGGAGGATGCAATTAATGATGTATGAATGCGTATCTTACATCATACTAGCACATTTGTTGTATAAACAATAATACTTGCTCCTTATTTTCAAGGAGAATCTTCCGCTTACAATCAAATGTATCATAAGATGATAAAATTATACGTGACGTAAACAGAGTTTTTCCTTACACGCAATGGAAGAAATAATATTGTTATATAAAATTTGCAATAAGTATAATTTCATTCAACTACGTCCAAATTGCTTACTATTTGTCAACACGACAATGAAGCAAATTTCATTCTTGGTCCCAACGAAGTAGACTTTTGACGTCCAAATATTGTTAAAATCATAGCGTCAATTCACGGAATAGCCCAATAGTTGCTTCATAGTTGCACACATTGTCACATCATTATGTATATATAAAACCTAATTAATTATACCAAACTGCTATGCAATAGCAGGGCCGGCCCGTGTCGGTGGGGTCGTGCCGGTCCAATGGACTTGCATAATGGTCTAGTGGGCATAATAAAGAAATGGACTCGATCCATTATTTAAAGTGGAGGTGACTGCAAATAATTAAACCTAACAGAAAAGAATTCCAAACACGTTCACTAAAGAGACAAAATGAAATGTTTAGGTTATAAACTTGTAACATTAATCAATATTTGTGCATAGACTCTAATCTTCTAATTATATATATATATATATATATATAATTGAATTCTCTACATTCATAGATGCTTCCTCCTGACGCAAGATTAAAGTAGTATTTTTTGGCTTTCTGTTTCAAATGATATTATGCCACAATATTGGTGGTTGAAATGTTCAGTCAATCAACATGGAGTATATTAAGGAAGTAATATATACGTTAAGTCACTTTAATTTCCCACTAACATGCACGCATCGTCCCTAGTTAGCACCTTTTTTTTTTTTTTACCCAGTTAGCAATTAACTAAAAACAAATAATAAATAAATATATATATATATATATATATATATATATATATATAAGTTGGTTTTCGAGAAAAAAAAAAAAAAAAATTGTTTGGGTTGGGCCACAAGTCCGTATAATATAATCTTTCATCCTTCGAAAATTTTTACATTCGAATCTCCCTAGAAACATGTTGTGGATGTATATTTGCTGAAATTTCTGAAAAAAAAAAAAAAATAAACAAATAAAAAAAATTGTAACTTGCTGATAAGGTTTGATACAATGACATTCATGCTATTTACTTTTTGAAAAAAAAAAAACATATACAAGGCTTTGCCTCGACTAATTCACAAGACCCGTGTCCGGCGATCTCCTCACACAAATCAGATAAAACTCGAACTATGTTCGCGGTCGTAGCCTCAAGGAATTGCTCACACCTAAGAGGAATCGTTCATGCTAATTTTTGCTCATAAAATATGGACACTTAATTTTAATGGTAGTAAGATAGTAGGAGTTTTGAATTGAACAAAAAAATAATAGAATGTGAGATATATAATGAGTGTGTGGTTGCTTGAACTATAAAATAAAAAAATAAAAAATCTAGATTGTGCCATAAGCTATGCACAAATATAAGAACAGCATATACAGATCACAAGCTAATCAAGTTTGTTAGCATCTTTGTGAGCAATAAAATTTACAGTAGAAGACAAGATAGCTCTCAACGGTTCAATGTACTTCCAAGAGGATATGAGTCACATAAATTATTTTTACCAAATTAAAGTGCAGTTAAAGTTAATTTGACCTATATTTGATTAATATGCAACACTTGGTCTTCTCTAGCATCCGTCTCCATGAGTAACTTAATTATCTTCTAGTCAAATTTTTTTTAACTAATTTTATATTATACCCTAGGTCATATACACGACAAAGGCTACACTCCTATTATTATCTTTAGATTTGAAGTATACCATATATATTTAGACTTCTCGAGTTATATCATAAAAATGATCATTAAATTTAAAACACATACTTTTTTTTCCTACTTTCCATTCTGAATGTGTGTGTCTATATATATATATATGTCATGCCTGTCTTCTGCCTGATTGCTCTTTACACCATGGAACGCATATTTTATTATTTTCCAATGCAAGACCTTTTGTTTTCTTGTTTAGTTGTTGTTGCTCTTTAAGCTTGAGGTTTTGCCATCTTGTCTGTATATTTTTTCTTCTCTTTTAAATAAAATTTATTTGCTGATAAAAAAAAACATGGTATACATATACACACCCAAGGTGTCGCTGAGTGAACAATTTTCATTACTTCACGGTTTTAAATCGATCAAAAGGGGTCTGAAACATTAATTATTCATTGCAAAGACATTAAATCAAGAACTTAAATGTTCTCACATTACTTATATTTAATATTTTACAAGGATGACAAAGTTGAAGTTAAAGCACCAACTTGTATATATACATGCTAAGATTTCTTGTCCTGTTTTCCTGCTAATTTCCCTACCAAGAGCGTTAGGGAAGACAAAGTTCAAAATGAAAGAATTATATATACACTCTCTTCAACTTAGACATCTTTTGAATAATAATAATAATAAAAAAATAAACATCTTGAATGCATCACTAAATAAGTATATATATATATATATATATATACTTATTTAGTGATGCATTCAAGATGTTTATTTTATTATTATTTAGGCGCGTACACAACTTGATTTTGATCATATAGGTGACTCAGTAGTCATTCCAGTGGGACGGTAAATATAACCAGCATGCATGGATACATGAACAATTGTTGTTTAACAATTTTGGAACAAAGAATTTGCTTCAAGCTGCTTTTTCTCAAAGCGGTTTCTGAAAAACTATCATCAAATCCAATTTTCAAACTGATTTCTGCTATTAGTTTTTTCAGAAAACTATTGCTAGCAAAATAAATAAGACAGACATTTAACTTTCCAGCATAACTAGTAAGTGTTTTTATTTATGTATACACAAATGATCTCTTGCATATCGTTGATCAAGATTCACACCATGTATATGATTGATATGTTATATATATATATATATATATATATATATATATGAGCGTGAAAATATCTAAATATACCCTTCAATATATATATACACAAGCCATTTTGTTGCTTTTTTTTTTTCTTGGAATCTCTCTCCTATATATATAATTAACATTTCAATAATTGATCTCATTTGGTATTCAATGAAGCACCATCATCCTATATGATAGAAACATAAGGACCCACACTAGTGATTTTACACCCATTATTTCCTCCAATTCACAAAGAAATAGCAGGATCAGAGGAAATTATGGGGTGCCCACTACAGTGACTGTGTTGAAGTCCAAACTAAAAACCAAAAAAAGTAGCTATACTTAAACATCCGAAGTAGAGTCAGCATAAGTAGCTATAGAAAAAACAGTACTTTTCATCTAAGCCTTGTCTTCCTCACAAATTCTTTTCATTGACTACTAGCTACAACATCATCCATCTTATAACTTCATTCATTTCCTGTCATCCTCAGATTAAACATATATTTCAGTACAACAATTAAATCAAAGACAGTAGTACTGTCCATTTCAGGTTGTACTATCCATCGCGATGGAGCAAGCTTTGTATTGGATGCACACGAAGCGAAAACATATTTTGACATCTCATATTCAATCGTCAAGCATTAATCCATCGTATGGTGATTCATGGGAAGAACAAGCTTTTGCAGAAGATGCAGCTGGAGCTCTTGGAGGGTGTATATGGCCTCCCAGATCTTACACTTGTAGTTTTTGTGGAAGAGAATTCAGGTCGGCCCAAGCTCTAGGGGGTCACATGAATGTCCACAGGAGGGATAGAGCTAGACTCAAGCAGTCTCCAAATCCCCAGATTAATGAAATTCCTCATCTTCATCACCACCAAAATCATCATATTAATCTTCAATATAGCTCTTTGGATGTCCAATACCCATCCCTGGGTTGTAACCCTAACCCTAACCCTAGTTCTGATCAAGGTGTTCTTGCATCAACTTCTTCACCTTCTAGGGTTTCAGCTCCTCTCCAAGAAAACCACAAGGGGACCTCCTTATCATTAATCCCTCCATCATGGTCAAAGTTGATTGCCAAAAGATACTTTCAAATCTCTGATCGAGAAGTTGGAGACAGAAATTCAAAGCAAGATCAATCAGGACTTAGGGCCAGAGGGGATTATGTCAAAGCCAACTTGTCGAGCTTGAATTTGGTTGTTTGCAGAACTGTCCCAACTGTATCTGGTGCTAAATATGAGGCCACGAGTAGTAAGAGACGAAGAACTGATCCTATACCATTGCCTTTATTTGTGAAACCAGGTTCAGTTGATAGACAACATCTGATCAAATCAGAGGTACTTGAATTTAGCCTTAGCTCAATAGATCAGGATTTAGATCTTGAACTAAGGCTTGGAGACCGGCCTAAGCTGAAGTAGAAATGATCAAAAAGCATGTGCTTTGATGAACATGTTAGTTGTTTCTTCTGTTCATGTCTGTTGTTTGTTTTCTGCCTTGCTCTTTTTCTTTTTTTGTTTCCTTCCTTTTTCCCATTTATTCTCTCTGGTGTAGGAAAAGTCTTTTTTTTATTTATTTTAAATTTACTAATTTGCAGTAACAATTACCATGTGAAAATCGCGGATAAACTTAAAATGTTTATCTCATACATATGAGAATGATCGATGATGCCTTTATGAATAGCTCTAGCTTGATTCTAATTATATAGTGGATGGTAGTTGAATCTATTTGTATTCATGACTCATTTTAATTGCCAATATTGGAAAATTCTGAATTTAGAATGATAATCTCTATGCCTCTATGACTTCTCTTGTATTCTTATTGCCCATTATGAAAAAGTAATTTATTTCGACTACGTAGAAATAATGCAAGTTTAGGTAAACATTCAAAAAAAAAAAAAAAAATGTAAGTTTAGGTTTAGAATTAGGGTTTCACTATTGAACCAGATAATGAAGCAGAAGATCTTAATATTTGTTTAATTTCTGAGAGAGAAATCAGACAATTATTACTCGATCTTTAAATTGCATAGAAATTTAGGTTAAGAAGAGAGAGAGAGGATTTTCAGTCGTCCATATTGTTAAAGAGTTTATTTTGATGGCTAGCTTAATTTGAACTTGGTCTTGGTTGAAGAAAAAAGTAATAATGCATGATATATAGTGAGCTCTTGTTCCTACTCAATACCTCACTGACATTCCATCAGAAAACAATTAAACTAATCCACAAAACACACACACAGTTGGAATTTCAAGAAACACACAAGTCAGATACACCACAGCATCGATTCTCTTTTCTCTTGTATTATTATCATCGTCATCAACATCAGATCTGTTGCACCTACAGTATCTCCACATAAATCCACATTGTGTTTCCTGTATTACTTTTTTCTCTCTGCTGCTAAGTCCCTCCAAAATTTCAACCAACTCCATGGAATCAATTCATTTAGGTCACATAATGCCCTTTTTAATCACAAAGAGAATATTATAACATTCTGAACCAAAGATGCTTACTACTCATCCTTTGTTTCTTCTTCTCTATGTATAGTTAATTAATCAGAGAAAAGGATCCTCCTTGAGCGAGAATCTATATGTAAGTGCAAAATTCTACTCAACCAATAACAATTGAGAAAAATAATACAACACCCCCAAGAACAGTAAAAATAAATAAGAACAGTATCTAAAGAAGCGTAAAATTGCTTGGATCTCTTTATTGGAGGTCTGAGTCTCTATTTATATACAAAAGTTAGAAGAATTATGGTAGGACTCGCGTTGCTTGTCCTCTAATTCTTTCCATATATCAATTTCTTAACAAATAAAATTCTTTTCTCTTTATAATTCTTCCCTTTCCGGATTTTCCTTACACAGAACTTATTCCTTTGATGAATCCTTTTCCTTGTAGGACCGGTTCCTTCTTTAAATGGATTTGGGCTGCATCTAACTTGGTACACATGACTGCTGGCGTCTTGATTCGAGCTTTAGTAAAGCCCGTAGTTAGATAGCGGTACTTTTGGGCTAATGACCAACTCAACTTGGGCTTCTGACGAAATGGGCTTTGACCTTTATTGAAGATAAAGTTATATTTATGATGATGTGGATTGCTCTTATTGGAGGGAGAGTTTTCCCTCCACACTTTGCCCCCAATTCCCTCTTTAATTGGATTGCGGCTCCTATTAAAAAGGGAATTGAAGTTGCACGGTTGTCTTTTTTTACCAAAAGACGTTTCGAAGATTGCCCATTGCCATTCTGCCTTAAGAGATTCTATAAGGGTTACTTTTGCTCTCACTACGTGTCTTGCATTCTTCACTCCATCGTCTTATCAGGTTAGTTCTCCATCTTTTTCTCTTCGATCTTGCATTATGAGTACTTCGACTACTCCTGAACGTATAGATATCATAGATTCTGAGTCCACTCCCTTGTCTTCCCCTAATCTCATTAGGGTTCCCCCACCTAGGGTTTCGAACTTTCCTGAACCCGTAAGTGACTCGGCTAATCAGCCAGATGTTTCTCCGATCCAGGCTGAAACCTCTACTTCCGGGTAGGACAATATCCTCACTAAGGAAGAGAGGAGTGCAATTCTATCTATTCGTCGCATCCCGTTCTCCATTGAATCCGTAATGGAAGAATTTGAGATTCTCGAGGGGATAGAAATCGCAGAGTACCCCAAAGGAGCTGATTTTTGCGCCGGCGAGGGCGTCGGAGAAGACGAGTTGCTCATCTCTGTTGGGCATCTCAATGCTCTTAGGTTCCCCCTTCATCCCTTCTATCATTTAGTCTTCAACAAATTAGGGATTGCACCCCTGCAAGTAAACCCTAACTTCCTTCGAGTAATCTCAGCACTCCTCATTCGCCGATAGCAGGAGAGTCTTGACCTGACTTGCTGATTACTTATTCTATTTCTAAGCATGGAACCGAACCTTGTCGTTTCTTTTTCACTTCCCCCTTGCACCAGAGGATATGCACAGACCTTCCTACTTCTGAGAAGAATTGGAAAAAGAGGATGATAGTTGTTAAAGGGAAATGGGCTGTGCCCCAATCGAGCAAACTCCCAATCCCTCGCAAGTTCAGAAAATTAGGTATAGAACATCCCCTTTTTCTTCATGAAGAGTGCTCGGGCTATTTCCCATGTCGAGTCTTACTATTTCGATATATTTACGAGTTTCTTAGTATTTTTTAAGCAACATTTCCTTCTTCGGCTGCTAAGAAGAGGCTTTCCTTCCTGGAAAAACGGGTCTGGAGCAACCCTCCCTCGATCGAGAGCTTACTCACTTCTGCGAGTCTTAAAGCAGTTGCTTCCAGAGCTGTAGCCGCTGATCTCATGGACCTCTCACTTCCATCTTTTGACAGCTTCCCCATGACTGAGGAAGAAAAACAGAGGCCTGAAGCCTTGAAGAGGAAAGTTGCAGAGAATGCTCCGTTGACTATACTGCGCACAAATGAGCAGGAAAAGGAGATTGATGAAGTCCCTTTGAACAAAAGGGCAAGGCTGAACTCCTTTTCAACCACGAAAACCAAGGGTGCTTCCAACCTAAAAAGCAAAGGGAAGAAAACCGAAGAGGTTAACCCTGAGGATGAGGTCAACGCTTACGTCCTTGCCGAGGCTGGAGCACCTTGGACTCCTTCCTTCTCGAGGGCTGACAAATCCATCCTCCATGTTGGTGATTCTATGATCACTAACCCATCTGCAGCACTGGCCGTTGCTCGGAGAATGTGGCTCCCCAAAGATGAAGAAATTATCGGCAGAATGGGGCTGGAACAGCTACTCCCATCTACCCCTATTCGAGCCATAGAGGTTTGCCTCGTCTTTCATTTCCATTGTCATAATTGCCTTACACACTTTCTTACATTGTTATTATCTCAAAATACAGGGCTTGTATCATACTATGGCCCTCTGTGCTACTGCTGAGGCTCAGTCTCTTTCCCTTAAGAAGCTGGAGAAGGACCTCAGTAATTCTGAGAAGAAAGCATCCCATGCCATTGCCAATGCACAAATTGCATACGAGGCTCGGGATGTTTACAAGAAGCGTTTGACTGCCTCTGATGCTAAAGTTGAGTCGCTGGAGGCTGAAGTCCAGCGTTTGAATGATGCCCTTAGCACCTGCATCATTGCAGGGAGGCAAATGCAGGGTTATTACACCAGTTTGGTGCGCTTATCTAGCGCCAAGGCATTCAGGTCCGGCTTCAATCAGGGTTCAGGGGAAAAGACAATAGATCCCGAGGCTTTTGATGCCCAAATGGGAGTGTCGTTCCTTTATGATGAGGGTCCAAAAGCTCAGGAAGCTGAAGTTCTTTTTGCCGAGATGGTGAAAGCTCATCCTGAGGTCCCTTCAGCTCCAAGTGTCTCTACTCTTGCAACTGGCCCATCAAATCCTCCACCTGCAAATCCAGCTGTGGTAGATGCTTTTGAATCTACCCCGTTTGATCCGAAGAGGAAGTAGGATCGAGTAATAATAATTTTATTTTATTTTTTATTTTATTTTATTTTATTTTTTTTTCCTGTAATGAAATAACATTGGGAATGAATGATATATCGATGTTTCTTTAAGCTGTGTCATTTTTATTCTGCTTCGACTGAGTATGCTTGTATGCTTTTAATATTGCACACACTTTGTCAGATGAGATTATTTCTAAGGAAAGTACCCTGCCTGAGAGTTCCTTATTTGTTCCATTCCGAAGCAAAATAAATAAGATGTGAAGAAGAGATCTCCTCTAATGGTTTATCTGATAATAGAGGATTGTTTTTTCCTTTGGTAATTTAACCGTTAAGAGAACCTTTCTTGAAATGGATTTGTGTGAAACAAGTATATTTATACTTGTTTCTTCTTGTAGTTTTTCAATGTGGGATAATCTTGTGGCTTATATTACCGAACTTAGAATCAGTGAATATGAGCGTAAGAGTTAGGTTTGCTGAGCCAGATACTTAGGGTCCGAGGCGAATAAATTACTCCCCGGCGCTGAGCCCGAGGGGAGGTTGGTTTGCCGAGGCGGACACTTAGGGTCCGAGGCGAATGAATTACTCCTCGGTGCTGAGCCTGAGGGGAGGTTTGCCGAGCCGGACGCTTAGGGTCCGAGGCGAATAAATTATTCCCCGGCGCTGAGCCTGAGGGGAAGTTGGTTTATATTTTTTCTCAAACAACTTATCATGAGGCCGAGGATTCAAAAATGATAAGAGGCCAAGAAAGCAAGTAACAGTGGCTGTGAAGTTTCCTATTTGTTGACTTTGGAGACTTTCCTCCTCCATTGATACTCCTTTCTTAACAACCAAATGTAGTGGACTACGCATATATTAATCGCATTTCTTTTCTATTTCATCCGATGTGGGACATAGACTAAATTTTGTCAAAAAGGTCGGTGTAAGGAATGCCTCTGGTATTGAGCTTGACAGCCTTAAATACCAGTGGGCCTTCCTTACACCGCAATTAACTATTTGAATATTCCCATATATAACAGAATGTAGCACATACTTTTTTGTCGATGTGGGATAGAAAGTTTTAAACATAGGCCATAACTCATGTTTTTTTTTTTTTCTTCTTAAAAATCATCGTGACGAATGCTTTTTTAACAGCTTGCTTCTAACATTGCTTTGCATAAAAATTGCATAGTGCGACTTGGCATGCATAAAAATTGCATAATCATAGAGTAGTATGAAAATATCTCTGCATAAAAATTGCATAATGCGACGCATGCATAAAAGTTGCAAAATCATAGAG